ATAAGGAAAAGTTATTTACTTATTCCCATAATACAAGAACTAGGGGTCATCAAATGAAATTAATAGGCAGCAGGCTTAAAACAAATACAAGGAAGTTCTTCTTCACGCAGCACACAGTCAACTTGTGGAACTCCTTACCTGTGAAGGCTAGGACTATAACAGCGTTTAAAAGAGAACTGGATAAATTCATGGAGGTTAAGTCCATTAATGGCTATTAGCCAGGACGGGTAAGGAATGGTGTCCCTAGCCTCTGTCAGAGGATGGAGATGGATGGCAGGAGAGAGATCACTTGATCATTGCCTGTTAGGTTCACTCCCTCTGGGGCGCCTGGCATTGGCCACTGTCAGTAGACAGGATACTGGGCTAGATGGACCTTTGGTCTGACCCGGTACGGCCTTTATGTTCTTACGTACTTTTATACTACCGTTCCAATCAAAACAGTCTTGTAAATGTTTTATTAAATGGAAAAAGCTGGCATAGGATTAACTATGGTGCTAAGAGCATACCACCAATAGCTTTTATCAGTTTAGAATTTGTTGCCATTAGCCTCGTTGGTTGTACCTTTATATTTATATTGGAGAAAGTAAATGACAGTGCCTTAGTGACAACCTCTACCTTCCTTTATTTTGTTAGTTTCTTCTTGCTATATAGTCAAGCGGGTTGGTGGGCTTTTGTTCATTGTCCTGGGTTTACTGGCTCAAGTTTCCTCTTGACTAACTTTTTAAATACTTTTTAGAGATCTTTGTGTATAGGTGTCCCCAAAAATTCAGACTTATTTCTATTGATACCTTAAGACTTGAAATAATGTGTGTTTCCATTTTTGCAGGAAAACAAAAAAGAACAAACAGAAAAGTAAGCATATTTTTATTCATAAGTTATAGTTTATTCAGTACATAATGGAAGATCTACTGGAACAGATACTCATCTGATGTAAATTGCTATAGTTCTAATTAAAGTGGGGCTATGATCATTTACTTGGTTGGCGATCTGCCCAACTAAGTTTATGAAGTAACTTTTGTTTCAGATTTTAGGCTGTTAACCAGGTGGAAGCATTAAAAACATACAAATGGAAATGTCTGTCAGGGTCAAGACTGCTTACAAATTAAAAACCACACCAAGTGTTTGCATATACCAGTTCTGCAGTAGAATCGTTCTTTCTTAGATTACACAGGTGTTGGGTTCTCTTTCTTTTAGCATGGAATATTGTGCAGGCTCAGATGCTGTAATATAGTGGGGATGTGAAGACATAAGAGTGGGTCTGCAATAGGACATATATTGCGTTGTAACCTGTAATCTTTGTGTCCAAGTTATCAATGTAGGGGATGTTTCAGGAGGGGAAATGATTTTTTTTTTTATTGAAAAGAATGAATTCATCTGCAGTTTGAGACCTGCGTATAGTCAAACAAGTCCTTTAGTGAAAATGTCAGTAGAAAAACTATTGTTAGTGTAGATATAAAATGCATCTACAAACAAAATAGCTGTTTTTTGTTTGTGTAGCTCCTGGAATTGGGGAAGGCAGCAGTACCAGTGAGACTCCCCAGCCTCCTAGGAAGAAAAGGGCTCGAGTGGATCCCACGGTTGAAAGTGTATGTATTTTAACTCTGTAGTAACTCTCCATTTAGCTGCAACAGATTGAATGGTTTATCTTGATAGTTATATTTCAATCTTGGTTACTGTTTTTAAAAAAAGTTCCTGTTGAAATCTGCAGCTTTGATCTGCTTTATCTTTTTGGTCACAAATGCATGACAAGTATGTCCAGTAATTTAAGCAGGGGAAAAATATTCCGAATAATATATTTATGTGAGTTAGCTTCCTATCCCTGTTAATACAGAATTTCCAGACCTAGCACTCCAAGCTATCATTGTGCTTTTGGTAAAAAAGATAAGTATATGGAGGAAAATGCCACCAGTTAACATGCTATAGTTGTGAGCAGCTTTCAGACTGAAATCTGAGAGCTTTGAGTTTGTTCTTTCCATCTCAAAGTACTGCTTTAGTTGATGCATCATCTTAAGTATTTCAGAGATAAAGGAATCGTTCGTAAGTGCCAAAGCTGCAAACATCAACAGTTTTATTAAAAAAAAAGTCTATTTTCATAAGTTGATATTTAAGTAGTCTTAAATGAAAAACTTTTTTGGTTGGAGGAAAACACTTAATGTGTCAATAGTCTTTATATGGTATTCAATAGATCTATCAGACATGTGGGTCTATAGTCAGAGGTGCCATTGAGTCATCAGCACAGTGTGAAGGCATTTGTAACTGAAAGTGAAGTTGCATAGTAATATAACAACTTAAAAACTGGCTTATGATTATCTGTCAGTATTGACTGTTTTCCCTGTTCAACGAAGTGGTGGTGTTAGCATGAATTAACGAATAGGTAATGTAACAAAAGAGAAATAATACTCCCAAGTACAAAAGCTCTACTGGTTTTGTAAGGTTTGTATCTTAAAGTGCTGCTCCAGGGATATCTTTGTCTAACAGCTGAAATACAGTAAAATTCTAGCAAGAGTTGAACTGTATGTCACTTCATAAGATTCTAAGGTAACAATAGCAGCTGCAGTCTTCTATCTTTTGATAGACGTATGTAATGGCTACATTTTAGAAAATTGAGGCTGTGTGGGTATGATGACCAAAGTAGGATGACTTTTTTTGTTGTTTTTTGTTTTGTTTTTTCTTGATTCTTCAGGAAGAAACATTTATGAACAGAGTTGAAGTAAAGGTAAAAATTCCAGAAGAGCTGAAACCATGGCTTGTTGATGACTGGGATTTGATCACTAGGCAAAAACAGGTAACCCTCACATTGTGAAAATTATCCTTTATCTATAAGCATGTATACTGACTTCAACCGACAGTTTGGAACTTATGCTCTTTCCAACTGGGGGGAATGTGTTGGTCTGTTTTTCAAGGTATACTTGGTATTCTGTCTCCTCGAGGCTTATTTGACTGGGTTGTAGGTACTAGCTGGTTTCTTCCCACAGGTCACCTGTGATGTTCAGCAGAGCTGCATGTTGTTGTCAGGAGCACATCCTGGAGCTTCCTTAAGTCCAGGCAGGCATAAACTAAAATGTCAACTTGCCCTTTTAAACTCATGGTGTTGCCTGTGGGTCTTTGTTGGCCTTTTGATACATACTCACTTTAGCTGGTAGAAAAAGCTGGTCCATAACATTTTATATAGACATTGACATGTTCCGTATCCTCGTCAATGATTAGATAGTGGCATAGAGAGTACACCTACAAAGTTTCTGGATGATACCAAGCTGGGAGGGGTTGCAAGTGCTTTGGAGGACAGGATTAAAATTCAAAACTGGAGAAATGGTCTGAAGTAAATAGGATGAAATTCAATAAGGACAAATACAAAGTACTCCACTCAGAAAGGATCTGGGGGGTCATAGTGGACCACAAGCTAAATACGAGTCAACAGTGTAACACTGTTGCAAAAAAAGTGAACATCATTCTGGGATGTATAAGCAGGAGTGTTGTAAGCAAGACACGAGAAGTAATTTTTCCACTCTACTCCGCTGATTAGGCCTCAACTGGAGTATTGTGTCCAGTTCTGGGCACCACATTTCAGGAAAGATGTGGACAAATTGAAGAATGAGCAGAGAAGAGCAACAAAAATGATGAAAGGTCTAGAAAACATGACCTATGAGGGGAAGATTGAAAAAATTGGGTTTGTTTAGTCTGGAAAAGAGAAGACTGAGAGGGGACTAGACGGTCGTTACAAGGAGGAGAGGGAAGAATTGCTCTCCTTAACCTTTGAGGATAGGACAAGAAGCAATGGGCTTAAATTGCAGCAAGGGAGGTTTAGGTTGGACATTAGGAAAAACTTCCTAATTGTCAGGCTAGTTAAGCACTGGAATAGTTAAGCCTAGGAAGGTTGTGGAATCTCCATCATTGGAGGTTTTTAAGAACAGGTTAGACAAACACCTGTCAGGGATGGTCTAGATGATACTTAGTCCTGCCATGGGTGCTGGGGGCTGTTTCCAGTCCTACGCTTCTATGATTAACCTTCAGGCTAGGAAAGGAGTTGAGAGAATGCCAAAGCCTAGAGTGGATCTTGAACTTGGATCTGCAGGGCTCCTGGTGGGCAGCTTGTTGCCAGCACAGGTGTGCTCGAGGACAGCAACAGTGGGTTCGTTGCCCGGTGTGCTTCGCGTCAATAAACACACCAGGTGGAGAAGCAAACAAAGTTTATTTGGGATCCCAAAGCGGTGCAAGGAGACTGGCAAGTCTCAAATCAAGCACATTAACAGGAACAGTTTTTCTTCTTTTATACATTTTGCAGTTAAGCCTCACCCCGCCCTTTCCCCTCTAGCCCTCCTTTTCACCCCCCCATTCCTCCCTCTACCCCTCCCGTCCCTGGTAATAGTTAAGTCATTCTTGGCAGCTATAAGCCTAGCTTGTTAGTAACTTCTTTAAACCGTTATCTTGTCCTTTTCCCTGCATAAGTTAGAAACAGGCGAAAAAGAATTGTTCCTAGAAGCAAGCACTCGTACAGATCAGTTTTGTAA